GTTGGAATGTGGGATTAGTTTCGAATTGAACGGATGTTTATGTCAAACATAAACGAAAAGTTTTTTTTTTTCCGTTAGGTTTCACTTTAAGTTAAAGGAAAATTTAATTAGATTTTGAGCAAATACGGGACAATTAATCGACAAATAGTCGACAAAATAATCGGTAAAAATTCCGAATCTCACACAAGTATTGCACTCAAAATTTCACTTTATTATAACCATTGCTTTTACAGTATCAACATTTAACTGCAAATTACTTGATAGACATACTATAAAACAATTTTTTATTTTATAGTATGTTTATTAAGTAATTAAAAATAATTATTGTAAGAATTTATATACAATTAATAAGTTTAATATGCATAATAATAATATAAAAAAAATATTAATAATCTACATATGATATTTACAGGGTGTGCATAAAGTTTGGAACCAATGGGAAATTTTTTCCTCATTACAGATTGAGTGATGGTATTGAGCAAGGAAGACCAGGTTGAGGTAATCCTCCTTTGTCAGCTAGAAGAATGAATGAAAAGGGACTTGTAGTCTATCCTATTTCTCAAAATTTCTGAAGCAGTTTCCTCACCACACTGTGGTTATTGTTAGCTTCTCTGGATGTCTCAAATTAAATTTGATTACCACACACTCTTTTTGTTTGGATACTTTTTTGTATGGATGTATGTAGTACAGTCGACCCCCCTATAAGATCATTGATTTTTCCGTTTTATCTGAATTACATGTTGTACGAGTCACTTAGATTTTACAAATATGTGAACCGTTCACAGCCCGGCACACGTATTTGTAAAATCTAAGTGACTCGTACAACATGTAATTCAGATAAAACGGAAAAATCAATGATCTTATAGGGGGGTCGACTGTATGTATACTTTTTCTGTCCATACTACTAAAAGATAGTATAGACACAAAAGAGTATCCAAAAGAACTTTGGTAGTATGGACCATATTCTTTACATTCTTTCTGTCTATCTTTGCATCCCATTGATTTTAGACTTTATGCAATTTTTCAGTTTTATAAAATAAAATATAATGATTTTAAAACTCGGAATCTTAGTTACTGTTGTACAAATTTATTTCTGTGATCAGTTCCAAAAATAATTACCTTTATTGTAATTAAATAAAAAATATGTGCTTTTTGTTTTTAGATGTTGCAAATGGAATTCAAGTATCTTCTGATAATCGGGAACTAAATAAGAATAAAAACATAGAGAATATTTATGTAAAATGTAATTTCTCCACTTTCTTATATTCAAATGTATCTTGGAGTCATATTGAAGTGCCTTCATATGATTTTCTTCCAATAGGTGAAGATTTATGTAAGTAAATACATATTAATTTGTAGATATTGAAAAAATTTTAAATTCTTTTGAATATCGTAATTAATTTTATTTTTGAATTGTACATTTAAAAATATATTATTAATTAATTTTTATGTTTATTNCACTCTCTACCTTGGCTATTATTTCTTGCTTGGTTTCTATGATGAGCACAGTTCTTGACTCCAGCCATACTGCCTAGCACTCTCTACCTTGGCTATTATTTCTTGCTTGGTTTCTATGGTGAGCACAGTTCTTGACTCCAAGGCCCGGATGAAATTTGAAATTTTGTATTAAAACGTTAACGAATATCCAATGGGACAGTTAAACTTTCACCTTTCGTAAATAAACCCTGATGCAAAAGTTAACAAGTGCCCGTACGACAGTCTCGTGAAGACTATAAAAAATTATTTGTCAGAAAGGTAAACAAAAAGCTGAAATTACAAGGGAGAGTTTCAAAATTCGGAGGAATACTATCCAATTGGTATTGGGTTGAGCATCGATGTTGATGTCTTCTGAACTCCAAAAGGTTTTGAATTGTCACCTGGAGACAAGAGAAGACCAATTGGTATTTGCTATATTATGTCGCTTCTTTTTCTGTTTGTTCTGTGAAGTGTTCATTATCTGATTTGTTCGCAGTCCAAACTGTTCATTAATCGATCACCCATTGTATTCATATTACATAAGATTTAGCTACACATTTTAGCTTTTTTCAATACCTCTTATAAATAATTAGCTGTAAAGTATAGAATCAGATAAATAGCCATATTTTAGTTATGTAATTATGAAAATTAAAAATACAGAATTATATAAAATAAGAATATTAACTTCAATAATGCATTTAAATATTAATTAAATATAAATTAATGAAACAAATAATTTTAGTGGTATTAACAATTTTGGCTGAATTATACAAAAAACTTTTAAGTTTGAAACATGAAAACATTTTATTTTTTTTTTGTGCATAAGTAGACTTTTGTATTTCAGAAAAAATTTCACATTAACAATATAATTTGTACTTAGAATTTGAAGCTTATTATTAGAATAGTAAAAATCTTCCAACTGTTTTTCTTGTCATCGTTATGTATATGCTTTGATTTTTAGTCTTTAAACATGAATATTACATAATTATAGATATGGATATGTTATCTATGCAATATTAGTATTTAAACTTTTAGTTTTGTTCATTTAAAATGTTTTATGAAAGTAAGAAAGGCATATGTGAAGTATGTCAAGGCAGAATAACAAAACAGAAAAGTGAAGTGCAAGTATCTCTTATATAACATGGTAGTTCCATTTCAAAAAAGTACTGTGTTGTGAAGTCCATGCTATACAAAACAATGGACTAGTGAAAAATCTAGAGTTAGGTTCCAAAAGTATACTATTCTTTTTCCTTACTAAGAGAAATATATTTATTAAAGCAATCAATAATTAACTAACACTCACAATTAAAAGTACTGTATTATGCATTAATATTAATTTTACTTAAACAAGGGCATTTTCTTTTTACAATGTATCATCAGCTTCTGAGCTTTTTAGTTAATCATGATAAGAAATAGCAGCATCTTTATTTTTCTTATTTTTATCATGAAAAGTTTTTATGAATAACAAAACAAAAATAAAAATATGTTATTAATCAAAAATTTATTCTAGCAGGTTCCATTTGTTCAATTGAATACCAAGTAACTTGTTTTTAGAATTTGTGTTCAAATACTGAATTGTTTGAGTTGGGAATAGTTTGAGTACCAAGATACTGCTGTATTTTTTTTTTTGTCACTTTTATGAATGCTTACTTATCTACAGTTAAAAAAGTCTAATAACACTTACCTAAAAATGTTTAAATAAACTTTATTAAATATGAAGATTAATCTATAAAAACAAAACACAGTGACAATCTTAAAGGCTAAAGTCTAAAAACAATGACAATGACACCTGGTTGATAGGAAAGCTAAGACAAGGAATAAAAAATTGTACTATCAGTTTTCATTAAAGTAAATCTGACAAAAGGCACAAAATAAATTTGAAAATTTCAATATTCTAAAATCCACGGGAAAATTTGAGACATGCATGCCTACTTAAAAATTATATAGAATAACAGAGTTTACACTTAAAAATTGTGAAATTTTGTACAGATGATTTCCCAAATTCTCAAACCGTGTTAAGGTAAACAACATGGTTTCCATGTTGTAGAAATGCTGTGTTGTATGAGGGATACCTGTATTATGAACAACAACATAGAAATATCATCTAACAGTTTTATTCTAAAATTATAAAATAATCATGTGCTTCTAACAAAGCTTGAATAATTCAAGCAAAGTATTTAAAATTTGCTTTATGTTATATATATTTGAAAATACTGGACTATATATTAAAGCACTAAATATTGTGAGGCTGTGGGAAGTGTCAGAAATGAAAATAATTCTAGAAAAAACAAAAGGGATGAGCATGTTTTGTTAAACAAAATTGAGGGGCAGTGATCCTGATGATTTGAGTGGAAATAGAACATTTTAGTGCCATAGGTTTGGAGTGAGAGACGACTTGCTTTTTGAATAAATCCTTTAATTTGAGAGATGAGACAAGTATGTGACCATAAGGTCATCACCTCTTTGATGCCTCGTCGGGATGACATCACTCTGTTCCATTCGACTCAGAAGCCTCAAAGATGAATTGTTTTTGTTAGAAATTAAGTCACGAGTGGTTGCATATGTAAGTGATTGGATTGTGGACTATGAGACAATGCAATGGAAGTAATGCACTCAAAGACAAATTATACAAATATATATACCCATTTATTTATTCTTAAAAGTCTACATATAAGATTAATAAAATAAGACTATTGAGCCAATTAGGAAATTCTAGGCACATAGATGCGATAACTCAGTTGCATGTGAGAGAGAGCATTCACAATAGTGTTTGGGGATAAATACCTTGTAGAAGAGTAGGGAGCTGGCGTTTGGAGGTTGGGTCTATAAGATAAAAGTTCTCAAAGATAGTTCATATTCCATAAATCCATCTTAGAAGATATGGTTACAGACAAGAGGGATGAAATATCTGTAGCAGAGGTGGAAATATTCGTTAATGATGAATATCCATTAAATGCTATCTGGCAATAGAATAAATCGATGTCTCTGAAAGGAGTAACTGAGGTACACACACAAATGATTGACCTGCTTGAGGAACTGGCAACAACTGACTCAACTGGCTACTAATTGTATTAAACAATGAAATCAGGACAGCAAGTCATAAGGTTGCAGCAAAGCGTCTTTTTCGACACTGAGAACTTAATGGAAGATATACTCTCAGGTGCAAAAGTTGACAGATATCCTGGCCAACAAAGTTATTATTGAGAAGTTATATTGTTATTTATTTGTTTAACTTGAAGTCTGGAATCTCACAAGTATAATTTACAGCGAATTATCTGAGATCACATACTTGGCATGATAAACAATGATGAAAGTCCTAACTGTTCAGAAATTTAATTTATGAGTTCCAATTTGGTGCAGCTGACATTCTAAACAGAATTTTGTTTGGACAGTTAGAGACCTCTAGACATATTGCTTGCTTTATGATCTGATGTAAACCCTTTGAGCATATAAGCAGTAATGTGACAGTTGTGAATGAATGCCAGATTGAGAAAGGAATTATCACATGTTGGCAAAAATTTTTTGAGCAAAAGTAAAAGATAGGACCAGAGGAAGAGCATAAGACATTAGTAAGATTAAAGTCATCACTTCATTAATTTATAGTTCAATAGATTATTAAATAAGGTTAAAACACAGTGAATGATTTGAAAAAAACACTCTCTCTTGGAATAGGGAGCATAAACTATAATGATGATATGGAACTGTAATGACTAAGAGTGAATCAACATATTCAAACAATTTTACTATATGAGTAGATGGGAAATATTAAATAATTCAGACTCTATATTTTCTCAGACAAGAGATGTAGGAATATCCTAATTGGCTTAAAAAATTAGAAATGTCATATGATGTAAGCATTTCCCAGCTTTCAGTTAAAATAAAAAAATTATAGATGTCATTTAAAATAGTGGGAAGTGATAGATATTTATCTTTTTTTTATAGAATGGATGTTTGTAGAAATATAGTGAATGTTTTTTCTTGGGGTGGCATAGATAAATGAAAAATACAAGATGAAAGTAATTAAACTAATAATAAAATAAAAAGTTATTATAAAATTATTATAAAAAATAAAAAGTTATTAACTAATAATAAAATAAAAAGTTATTATGGCTTCTAGGTGAAAATGTACACATGTTTTTTTTCTTTCTAAATCTGTTTTATATTGAAGACTCAGAAATCTGGTTACCTTAATTATGCCATAATGTGCACGAAGTGAATAGATAAATAAAATATAAGGAAACAGAAATGGAAATAAAACAAACACTAATTTTCATATCATTTTGACATGCCTCATTTATCTCTACAGAATAATTTTTAAAATAATTCTTGATTATCTACTTAATTTATTAATACTGCATTACAACAAGAATATGATTATTGTATGATAGCTAAATGCTTTATTAAACCTTATCAAAATAGGTTTTAAGCTATGTTAAAATCTTGTAGTGTTCATGTCTGTTTGATACAGTATGACACAATACAAACCTATGGCTAATCCAAAACAATATGAATATATTTATGAATATGAATCAGAAATGGTGGATGTTCCAGTTCTTAATATAAAGTATTAAATTATTAAATTACATTTTTTAATATAAAGTGAGATTCCTTTTTAGGAGCCTCACTTTATGTTAAGAGATGTAATTTAATAATTTATTTTGCTTTTAAATTAAAAATATAAATTACATTTAAAATACTTTAATAAATAAGGTTCACAATTTTATATTATAGAATACTTAGTCTTCTTTTTAGTCTTAAATTAAAATTTAAAAATTTATGAATTTATTTCAGGGAAACCAATTATTGAAATTATTAATTCAAAAACAGATTCAAATGATTTGTATATGGTAAACGAAATATATAATTTGACATGTAGAGCAGAAGTTTTACCTGAAGCAACAGTAAAATGGTTATGGAAAGAATGTGATACCTGGGAAGATTGTACAAATGATGATGGCATTATTGATATAACAAAAGAAGATTCTGTTTCTAACAAAATAAATATAACTGAAATAAAATATGATGATGTTGGAGTAACTGTTGTTTCTTTAGTTCTTCTTGTTAAAGCAAGTAAATCTGGAAAATATTTTTGTAAAGCATCAAATAATTTAGGTTATGATAGTAAATCAGTTTTGTTTATTGTGACAGGTGAGTTTAACTTTTCATTTTTTAACTTAATCATTAGAAATATTTATTTTTTATAATAAATAATACAGTATATTACATTGATTCTTAAGTAGGCCAATGGTTCCCAATTAGTGGTACGCGTACCCCCAGGGGTACGCGTACCACTAATTGGGAACCACTGAACTAGGCTGACCATTTTTATTTGTGGTGCAATTCAGGACATTGAGCCTGGTAGCAGGGGGGTAATTTTACAAAGAAAATTAAAAAGTTACACTTGAAACAAATACAATAAAAACTTCTTATTTAAAGCATAAATAATTCAAACAAGTGATTAGTTTTAAGTTAAAACTAATTGTAACTTAAAACTTTTAAGAGTAGTTAAGAGTATTTTACAATGGTATGAACCTTTTTAAGAAGTTCATCACAGTTTTCTATTTGTTGCTTGAAGTCTTTGCAAGTGTGAAACCACCGGAAGGGGGGGTAGGTCTCCCGATCCGGCAACAGGTTGTTAAACCCTTTCACTGTCAGGATGGGTGGTTGAAGGGTCCTTTTTCCCGTTGTAACGGGTCGAGTGGCGGAGGGAAGAGCGCATCAGTGAGACGACAGGCGATATACGAGTAAACGAGGAGGCCAGATATAACATAAGGAAAATTAACAATTTATTAAACCAAGTAATACAACGTCTAGTTTGCGTCCCTAAAACGCGGAGAGACCGAGAGAGAGCTTACAATAATTGGTTCCATACCTCTTGATCTGTTATCCACGCT